ACGCATCTGCAAAGCCCCTGGTGTTGCGGTTGTTCATGGGCGGCGGTAGTCACTTACCATCAGGTGAGGCGCATGCTCGTTTGCCCCCTCTCCTTTAAAAAAATGAGGACTACGATGAAATGCCTCGTTTCCAGTAAAAAGGGTCTCCGGTTCTCTTCACTCACCTATATATATTCTGTAAGAGTGTAGTCCTTCCCCGGTCGAGGCGACCCATTAGTGCTACATCTATACTACTAATATAGCTGCAGCATGGCCCTACCACATAATGTAAATACACCAATGTGATTGAAAATTATATAATAGACGATTATCATAGTGGCATATTCAACAGTGGTAGAGCCACGCGGCAGCTTTTGCGGTCGCACGGATGGGCCGGCTCGAACCAGGGTAGTACCACAACCTTACAGAATACCAGCGTGAAATAGAAGTTAACCTCTGCGTTGCGCTTGGTGAGTGCAGGTGGCCGTAGGCCCAATTCCCCCCCATCAACATGGTAGCGGTATTAAATAAAAGACTACCCCAGAAGGGTACCAGCACCCCTGGAGAATCTCTCGCTGAGCATCCACAACCAAACTACTCCACTCCTGAGGGTGGGTGCTCAATTCACCCACCCTCACATCAAAATTCCGCTCGCGCAATAAAACCAAGGCGACCCCTGTTACCATTTAGAGACGGCGAAGCCGGCCTTGCTCTTTTTAACCGAGACTCAGGTGTCCTCTCCGGCTGATACTTCATATCTCTCCTACCCAGGGTACAAATTAGAACACTCCTTTGTGTCCCAAGTGTGGTGGGCGTTAAAATCACAGAGTCACTCACTGGAATGGCTTGGTTCTCGTTGAACCGACTTTGCCTTGGTATATGGTCTAACACAACTGGTTACTTCGCCTACGCGAATCCCAGATGTGGAGGACCATGTACCTTCCCTGTTGGACCTTCTGCTGACCTTTCATCCGGACGGATATCAGGTCCCCTCTGGGCTCTTCGGACCATTGTCTGATCTGGAGTACGGTGCCAATCACGCTCAAATCGCAGTTGCGATCTGCAGGTTGCCGCCGTGTTTGGCCTTTTTTTGCATCCTTCCCTTGGGGGCGGGTTTGCTTCTCGCTGGAAGATCTCAGCGTTGTTGCCGATTCTATTGCTGCTGTGGTACTTCAGGGTATGGGACTTTTTATTCCATCCTCGGTGGTACCCATCGGAGGCAGATCCCAGCCATGGTTTGGTCGCTCCTGTAAAATGGCATCACGCTATAAGCAGGAGTGCTACCGGGCCTGGGCTGACGCATCAACATCTCGGGATGTAAACACCAGCCCTCTTAAAAAGAAGTATAATTCCGCCTCCAGGTCCTTCAAAAGCGTCATTGCCAAGGCAAGGTCTGAGCACATCGGCAGAATTGGCGAGAAGCTAGTTCGCCTTCCTTCGGGAACCCGTGCATTCTGTTCTCTCGCCAAGGCTGTCCAAGGGAACTTCTGTCAGCCATCTCTTCCATCTCTGCACAGAGAGGATGACTCACTGGCCCATGCCGCAAAGGAGAAAGCCGATCTGTTGAGCTCTCTCTTTGCGTCCAACTCGACTCTAGATGACCGGGGGAACACACCGCCGACTATCCCGCGATGTGAGTGCTCCATGCCCAATGTGCGGTTTACACAGCGCTCGGTTTGCAAAGCACTCTTCTCCCTGGACGTCAGCAAGTCGAGTGGGCGCGGTGGAGTCCCTCCAGTTGTGCTGAAGACGTGTGCTCCGAAGTTGGTACCGGTTTTAACGCGTCTTTTCCGGTACTCCTACTCCCAAGGCGTAGTCCCGAATTCACGGAAGACAGCTTTGGTCCACCCGATCCCTAAAAAAGGCGACCGCTGACAGCCGTCCAACTACAGGCCTATCGCCATCACCTTGTTCTCCAAAATAATGGAATCCATTATAAACTGCCAGCTCATGAGGTACATTGAGGATCACCAGCTGATTAGTGACCGCCGGTACGGTTTTCGTCGGCTTAGATCAGCTGGTGATCTTCTGGTCTACCTGACTCATAGATGGGTGGAGGTATTAGATTCCAAGGGGGAGGCATTGGCCGTTAGTTTGGACATAGCGAAGGCCTTCTGGCACAAAGCGCTTCTTTGGATGCTTCTTTTCTATGGGCTTCCCGAGAAATTGTGCAAATGGATCACGAGTTTCCTTGCTGATCGGAGCATCAAGGTCGTAGTAGACGGTGCATGCTCTGATTTCAAGCCTATCAACGCTGGTGTTCCACAAGGCTGCGTGCTATCACCAACGCTGTTTCTCCTGTATATTAATGATGTGTTGCAAACTGGTCACATTCATTGCTATGCAGACAACAGTACTGGTGATGCCTTATATACCGGCCGTGCCAATATTTCTCGGGAAAACGTCGCCGAGTACCGGGACAAACTAGTCTTTGCTGAACAAAGTCTCGGATTGGGGGCGACTAAATCTAGTCCAGTTCAATCCCCAGAAGTCACAAGTTTGCGCGTTTACCGCTAAAAAGAACCACTTTGTCGTATCTCCTTAGTTTCAAGGCACTCCCCTTGCTGCCTCAGTTAGTATCGGAATCCTCGGCGTCGACATATCGAAGTGTGCAATTTTGTGGTCACTTGGAAGGGAAGGCCAAATTGGCCTCTAAAAAGCTTGGCGTGCTCAGCAGAGCGAGACAGTATTTTATGCTGGCACATCGCTTGCAACTTTACAAAGTGCAAGTTCGGCGTCATATGGAATACTGTTCTCATCTCTGGGCCGGGGCACCCCAGTGCCAGCTCCTTCCACTTGACCGCATCCAGCGCAGAGCGGTTCGAATCGTCGACGACCGAGTTCTTTCTGATCGGCTCGATACACTGGCACTGCGTAGAGATGTTGTATCTCTTTGCGTATTTCGCATCTATCACGAGGAGTGCTCTGAGGAATTGTTCGGACTAATTCCAGCCGCTCAATTTCACCATCGCACATCGCGACTAAACTCGCGATACCATCCATACCATCTGGATGATTGGCGGTCCACCACTGTGCGATTTAGAAGAAGTTTTCTCCCTCGCACAACTTCCTTGTGGAATCGATTACCACCAGCGATTTTTCCTGACCGATACGACTTAGGAACCTTCAAGAAAAGACCTTACACCTTTCTAAAAGGCCGGCAATGCATCTGCAATTTCCCTGGTGTTGCGGATGTTCATGGGCGGCGGTAGTCACTTACCATCAGGTGAGCCGCATGCTCGTTTGCCCCCTCTTCAATAAAAAAAAATTGTTGTTACCATACATTCATTACAGTCTATCAAAAGTCCACTGATCAACATATGCATTTAACATGATAGAGCCATCCTACTGCTATAAAGAAACACAAATGAGTCAGCATGATCGGGGAAGGATCACATCACTCTGACAGATTTTTTTTAAATCAACAATAGATGTAGATGTCTATGAGTCACAGCATCCAATACTATCAGGTAGACTGTGCTCGTTTGTCACATTATTCTGTATACAAAATATGCCGCCCTAATAGATTGCTTCAAAGGGGGGATACTTACCATAGTTGTCACGCTTGGCAAGCATGTTGGCAGCTGCAGTCTTTTATAGTTTTGAGTTGTTGTCAGAAAGATGCTGCTACATTACACGGCAATAGGAACATAGCATCATAGGACTATAGGACTATAGGCTTATTGAACTATAGGAAAATCATAGTAGTATATCATTTTGGTAAATTTTTTCACCCACTAGATGGAGTGACGACCTGGTAAGACATGCAGGAAATCGATGGATGCAGGTGGCTCAGGACCGTGCTTTGTGGCATTCTTTGGGGGTGGCCTATATTCAGCAATGGACTTATGAAGGGCTGTAATGATGACGATGATTTTGGTAAATAAAATATATTAAATAAAAACTAATGCCCTGTAGAGGCGGTGTAAAAGGATTCATCACCCCATTCGTCCTATAGGTGTCATAAGAGGCACTACCAAAAACAATGTTGTATGGCTTTCGATAGACGGCGGTATATAACAATCTCGTTTCCGCCAGACAAAAAAATACCAATGTATACGTTGGCAACGAGCAGCGTCAAACTTGTGAAATCCTTGGTACGTCAATTCCAATGACATGTGACAATTAAGGCAAAAGTTCCTTACAGAAGAGGCCCAACAGTGGACTTTTATGGGGGTTGATGACTATAACCTTGACACAAATAATGTATTTTATTTTATTTATTTATTTATTTATATAATACATTAAAATACATTATATAATTATTATTACATTATTATTGTCAGTGTCAGGTATATAGGATACATTATATAATAAAATAATTCATTTTATTATATGTATATGTATATATATATATATATATATATATATATATATATATATATATATATATATATATATATATATATATATATATATATATATATATATATATATTATTGTTGTGATTCTTACGTTAAAAAAAGGTAAATTAAGAACTTCTTTTTTGGAGAATTTCTTAATTTTATTACATTACACCAATGTCTATTTATATACTCCACTGTCCACCTGACCCCACTTGACAACCTCTCCTACACGGCCTCTATCTACACTTGTGCTACGAATCCCCTCAGTCCGTTGCGTGGAGGCCATGTAGCCTGGATGCATCAGACTTTCTAGTTTCTGCAAAGGATCTGGTCCATGGTTCCGCCTTCGACCATGTTTTGCCTGGGCAGTATTGGACGAAACAGGAGGTGCATCGCCTTACCAACATTTGTGTTCCCCCATGACCTGCCTCGGTTGTGTAGCCGAGAAAAGCCACTCCTGTCTCTGTAGTCCCCCAAAAAACACCCGAGGTGGGTTCACCAAGACACAGGAGCCTTGGTCGACGTCACCTTGGGCTGGCCTTTCATCTCAGGCCAGCCGTGTGTATTCTCTTAACTCACCGTCGCCGATATAGTCACAGCTATAACCAATTTGCTCAGTCCCGTGAAATATTAGACCTATATTTACCATTTATATATAAGTTATCTTACCTTTAGGTATTAGATATGTGCGCTGCTCCCGGTTCCAAGACAGCGCAGTTGATAGAGTTCCTGCACGCTGAAGAAGACAAAGTACCCACCGGTAAAGTTCTATAATTCTGTACAACTAACAATATTCTCAGTATAGAAGGTACGTAATAGATGAGGAGCTAAGCGCGCGCCGTAAATACGCAGTTTGCTAGCAATCCAGGTTTACCGTGTAGTGACGGCGTAAGAATATTCACTAGACCATTTCGTCTTGTGCATGTCGTAAGAGATGACAGAGGGAAACTGAAACGGAAGATGGGCAGCAGAATCTTCGCGATAACAACGTAAAATAATAATAAAAAACTACGGTTAGCCGTACCGTATTACCAAACGAGGCAATTACGGAAAAATATGATAAGATTATTAATTTTATTTATTTCTCACAACCAGCCCACTTATTGGTCCTTTGAACCGGATCTACCTTATGAATATAATGCCAACTTATATACAAACTGACCACAATTTATTTATAAATTGACTGCACATCATTGTATGCAATGTTCAGTGTGGAACATACAAAAATGTCAACATAATTTACTTTTTCTTCTTAGGTTTTGTAATGGCGAACGACGTTGACAATAGCCGATGTTACATGTTGGTTCATCAAGCCAAGCGCTTGAATTCACCTTGCATACTGATCACCAATCACGACTCTGCCGTTATGCCGTCACTTATCACCACTGATGAAAAGGTAGACTCTACATATACTTTTAAAACTTTAATATAATAAATTATTTTTATACATTTTTCCATTACAAACTAATCATGATAAATATATTTGATATAGTTTGTCATTCACACGTATATATTAGTATGTACACATATTGAAGATACATTTATATAAGATAAATTTGTGTGTTCTTTTAATATATTTTATTAATTCATATGTTTGTATATTTATACATATATAATACATATTTATGTACAGTAAATTCGTATATTATACAAACAAAATACATGTTCCAATTATGATATGAGGTTTGAGCAAACATTTCTTTAATTGTCTATCTGAGAAATAAGTATAATTTACTGCTTTTAAATTATACATTTAATTACAATATTATTAGATTATACTATATAAAGTATAAACAGGAACCTGTTATTAGCCATACGACACAATTTAAAGTATTATGTTAATAATACCAATAAACTTAATTTTTTTTAGTGTAACATTTTTAACACAGTAATTTTTTTAAGGATCCTACAGTGACAAAGCCATTAAAGTTCGACCGGATTTTATGCGACGTGCCTTGCTCTGGAGACGCGACCCTGCGTAAGAACCCCGACATTTGGTTGAAATGGTCTACTGGGAATGGAAATAACCTTCATGGGTAATGTTTTAATTGATATGTATTATAGATTGATATATTTATTGTTCTTATTTATAAATAAAAGCAGATTATTCGAATGTTATTTTTAACTACTATATGTTTTCGTTTAAATTTTAGTATTTTGGTGATGCGACTGTTGTAATAAAACGTTACCTTACGTACGATATTTTTATAGTACCTCCTTTACGTGGTAGCTCAGATGGTTAGCGCTTGCTGTAAATTTCACAATACGCAAGGCAACCGGGTTCGATTCCCGCCGGCACCAATGAATATGTTAATTGCTATTTTAAGTGCTGATTTACCACGTGCTCGACCGTGAAGGAAAACATCGTGAGGAAACCTGCATGTGTGAGAAATTAAAAAAAGTATTTAGAAGACATGTGAAGTCTGCCAACTCGCATTGGGGTCCACTCCTGAATGTGGGTGGATCCCACGAATGAATGGTGACGATTTGCTATAATCGCCGCGCTTGGTAAATCCATCTGTACATAAATAAAATTGAAGACTGTCCGTCTTGGCTAATCTTTGGAATGGCTAAATCGATTAAAGTGAACCTTCACGAACAGATAGAGAGCAATGCCAAAGCTATATATATATATATATATATATATATATATATACATTTTATCCTAAAAAGTTGGAGATATTTTATAAAAAACGAAGAATAGATTGGTCTAGTGTAATATTGGTCTAGTAATATATTAATTAGACGTGTCTAATTAATATATTTATTTATATATTACATTTTTTTGGTCTCCAGCATACAATACCGCATACTCCGTCGTGGCTGTGAACTCCTGGCTGTGGGCGGTCGTCTTGTCTACTCTACTTGCTCCTTCAATCCGATTGAAAATGAAGCTGTCATACATAGGCTACTGCAAGAAATCGGCGAGAGCGTTAAGCTGGTGGACGTGTCAGATATGCTGCCGGGATTGAAGTTCCACAAGGGTATATTTTTTTTAACTATTGTAAGCCAGTGCTTGACTAATATCCCACCTGGTGGTAAGTAGTGATGTAACCGAAGAAGGAAAAACACAGACTTGATTTAATAATACATATAATTCGCCTGTATGTGTATTTGTCGCCGATTCACTCATTCGCAATTTTTTGTGTGTCGTGCCTTCGGTACACCTTGAGTACACTCGCACTGCCAGTGCACTAGTGTGTGTACACTGCTGGTGGTCGATGGTGCACTCGTGCTTTCGGTACATCTTGAGTACGCTCACTGAGCTGTGGAAGCTCAGGGTCTCTAAGTACTCGCTATAAATTTCACAGTACGCGGGCAACCTAGGTACGATTTCCGTCGGCAACAATGAAATTGTTAATTGCATGATCAAAACATCGTGAGGAAACCTGCGTGTATGAGAAATTAAAAAAAAAACATTTTAAAGACATGTGAAGTCCGCCAACACGCATTGGGCTAAGGCACCGGACACTTCCTTGTTCTTAAACCCTTTTAGAAATGAAAACAGGCCTATACCGTATATAGGCTGGGATTTAAATAGACTGTTACTTTTCTAATTTTTACTTTGCTTTTTCTTTAGTTATGTTAATCTCTATTTAGCCATGTTAATAATTGTTTGAAAAAGTAGTGTATGTATGTATAAAGTGACCATACGTCCCGGTTTGAACGGGACTGTCCCTTTACTCGGTCACATGCCCTGTTGTCCCCAAACAAAGCTCCGGGACGCAAAATAGTCCCGTTTTCCGAAATCGCGCGAAAATTTGTCAGAGACGAACGGGACGAGAGCGAGATTGAACAAAAAAATAACCGAATGGGATAATTTAAAAGTTTCCGTAGAAACTCGTTGGGAGGAAGTATTCACATATTTTCATTCATTCATTCACACTTTCTTTCGCACCAACAATCTTCAATATACTTTTTTTTTTAATTTTAATCGAAATATTTTATGTCTACCTGGTACAAATGCTAAAAGAGTATTTTTATATTTTGAATAATTTGTCGAAGTCTGAAAAAAATCACTTACGGTTCCAGTTCTAAAGGTGATTAGGTCAAGGTAAAAAAAAAAACATGCCCAGAATTTTATTCTTATTTAAAATCATCACCAATTTTAATAAAGCAATTTTGTTGGTTCCACTGACAAATAAACTGGCGTTTGATTTTAATTTTTCACAATTTGCTATAATAAAAACATTAATTATTAATTTAAATATAATAATTGTAGTGAACACGAATTGTATAAAGTTACAGTTTTTCTAAATAAATAACATTAAAAAGTTGTGTTTATTTTACTGTTAACCTGCTTACTGGCGAGTATAAATAAACTAAAACTAATGTCCCGTTTTGGGTTAAAAATAAACGGTCAGTTTATGTATGTATAATACGTATGTAAGTAGTTGTATGCTGCTGTGATTCATTCAATAAATTTATATCTGTAGGCCTCAGGCCTTATTTATATCCTTCGCTTCATTATTCTTCGTTAAAAGATGCGATTTAAAAACATAAAAACCATTTACCTCATAGGAATGACACACTGGCGACCGGCGTCAAAGGATATGGTGTTTTACGACAAGTACGAAGATGTTCCGGAAAAATGGCAAACGGTTGTTCGTCCACAGATGTTTCCACCCAAACCTGAAGATCTAGACAAATACAACTTGGAAAAATGGTAAGAAAGAAATACGATTTTATATTTAATTGTATATTTTAGTTAACATCACTTTTAAAATTAGATTTTCTAGAAGAATTCATAGTCAAGAAATAATAGGAACGATTGTTGTATGAATAAGTATTTAAAATATATTGATTGATATTTGAATGATTAGAACCGCAGACCCTTTTTACTGATAACGATTCCATCATAGTTCTCAAGGTTGATAACGTATCTGCATTTTTAATTTTTTGCCGACTTCAAAAAAGGAGGAGCTTTCCAATTTTAATATATGTTTTTTTTTAATGTATGTTGCGCGATATCATCGCAATTGATACCCGATTTTGAAGACTCTTTTTATTTAACAGGTTATACTTCAGGAGTGGTACCCATATAAATATGGGGAAATAATACCACCCCTAAGGTGGCAAAAAAAAAACTTTTATGTTTTTTGAAATCTACCTTACCAAATGTCATTTATACTGTTGACAACTATCTCTTTCCTTTCATATGTTTTCAATTCTGAACTTAATGTCACAGTTTAAAGAGCTAACAGTTGTAAAACGCTTTTGATGTCCGGCGATACCGCCGCCCGCGTACGTATTTACTATTATTTTACGCCGTCGTCGCAAATATGCTATACCCAACCAAATCTAAGAAATACCTTTTGACAGCTGTCAGACTTATTGGACTAGGCATGCCAAACAAAAAATCGGTTCGTGCCATATTCGATTCTTAAGAAAAATCGATATCGAAAATAAATTAGAAACGGATAATTTAAAACACATTTATCAGTTTGTTCGTATTTATTGTTACTGCTTACTTCTAGAGACAAAATTATATAAATTTAAGATTGAAACTAACTTAAAATAAATTTATTTAATTATTTTCAATACAACTAGTCTAGAGGTCGTTGTTTAGATTAATTATCATTTGATTTTCTATTGAAATTAATGTCTCTTCCAAAGTCATCCTTAATAATTTTCTTTGTTTTCGCCACCACTTTTGCTCAATTATGCTTTGTGACATGGGTACATGCTTCCTTCAGCAAACCTTCCATCTTCTTCACGGTTAAAGGTGGCTTGGTGTTAGTGCAGTTAATGCTGTATAGCCTGTAAAAGCATAAGCTATTTTCATCTCATGTGTGTCTAAGTAGAGTTAATATGTTTGCATTTAGAACATTTCATATAACAACTAGCCTTTGATTTGGGCCCAAATCAATTCAATAGCATTATATTGCCAGTAGTATGGTGGTAGTCTTACAACTTTATGCCCGTGCTCTTCTGCTTAACGTACAAAGGTTTACGTGATTTATTTCACTTTACTAATTGTGTTAGCTCTGCTTTCAATATTTTCATATCCGCGTTCACTCCTTTGTGTTGTAGCCATGCCACTAAATCTGCTTTTTTTATTCGTTTGGGTTGGCGCTTTGTCGATTTGGACAGAATGGTACGGGGCGTTGTCCATTATTATTGTGCTACTTGCATAAATATTTTGTTAAAGGTTTATAAACCACTCTTTGAATTTTTTTGCATTCATTTCCTCGTGGTATTCACTTGTACTCTTTGAATGGAAGGCCAATAAAAAAAATTCTACTAATCCTCCTCCAGCGGATCCCGCATGGCAAATTATGAGGTACCCATCTTTTCTTATGGGCATCTTTGAGCAAGATGCTGCAGTGTCATCTGTCCAAATCTGGGGCACAGTGTGGTTCACGTTTAACAAGGTCTCAACGTTCAACGAATTGTTCCAATTAGTAATATATTACATTTCTCTTAAAAATGTTATTCTTTGCAAGACTATGTTATGCCTCGTCATAATTATTTTGCGTTTATATTTTTGCGTTTGAAAATGGTTCTCAATGATTCCATTGCACAAGCCGGCATCTACTACTTTGTTGCAACTTCACAATAGCAGGATATTCGCCCGTTGCGAAATAGCCGTCTGCGTTGAATTGATCGATACCTACTAATGGTTTGTTCTTTTTCAGTCTTGGCAACGGTGCGTTTGCCAATTCCGAGTGCTTAACCGACACGATCCCGCACTTGTGTCACTGATAAAAGGGGCCCACCGTTTTGTGACTTTTTTTTTATAGGATCGGTTGACAAACGAGCACACAGTCCACCTGATGGTAAGTGGTTGCTGCGGCCCATAGACATCTACATCTATCCTCGTTGCGAATCAAAATGCAGATGCGTTGTCACCCGTGAGGACTAAGATGGAATGCCCCTGTTCCAGTAAAAAGGGTCTCCGGTTCTCTACACTCACCATACGAAACACAGCAGCATTGAGCTGCTATTTTACGCTGTTATTCTGTGAGAGCGTGGTCCTTCCCCGGTCGAGCCGACCCATTCGTGCTACAACTATACTACTAATATAATTGCAGCATGGCTCTACCACGTAAACGACTTACGTCCACGTATTCGAATATTTCGTGTTTCACCACCAATGCACAAGCCTGACTGTTTAAATTGGGGCTACCATAACTATCTTTTCGGCAATATGATCACTTGCTTAGTCAAAGTCCAGTGTATAACTTGCCAAGATCACACAATATAGTAGAATCAGTCCAAAAAGTTATAGCCGAGACACAAAATAAGAAGACAAACACAAAATCACAAAAGTACGCACAGTAAGCTCCCAAAACGGTGATAGATTGGAATTACGTAGTGCTTTTTCAGCGCGGCATTGTATACGAGTTTTCTTGCCTACATAAATTTAAGCTGATAAAGTAGGAAATTATAAAAAAAAAACTTGTTTTGTTCATGATTCATATAATTTAAGCATTCTTAAAAATAAAAATTTAAATAAACAAATAATAAATTAAAAAAAAATTTGATTCGATGATACATAGCATACGGAAGCGACATATCATTGAAAAAACGTTAGGCAAACAAGTTGACTCTGGTAAAAAATGTATATTTTGCTTTTTTTGAAAGATTTGAACTTAAATTAGTAATAAAGAACTATGCTGGTTGAAATGAAATATATATTATGTCATAATTATTGGGATTTATGTAAAAGGTTATTTTAATTCTTGTGAGTGCGCTTGTACAAAGTTATTGCGGAATGGTTAATGTGAAATGTCAAAAGGTATTTCTTAGATTTGGTTGAGTATAGAGGTTGTCATGAAATTGGGAATAAAATATTTTTGCATACTTATTATAATACTAATCATTGTTTATAAACATTTATTAACATACTTATAAGTTTTAAATATTCATTGAACTAGATAATTTTTTATTACTACAAGAAAAAATACACTTACAAATGTTGCATTGCCAAATAGTGTATTCACATTCATATCAACAATTTTATTAAAAAAAAAGGAACCTAACATGGCCGTCATTTGAATTCAACTTCACTTAGTAACTATAGCAGTAATTCACCATTATAAATACTATGTTTTTCAAAAACGGCACTTATTAAAAAAAAATTAGGTACATTCTTTCCCAACTGTTAGACTCTCTTTAAACTGTGGTAATAGCTATCTCTTTTTTCAGTATAAGAATTTTGCCTCATCATCAAGACACGGGCGGGTTTTTCGTAGCAGTATTCGAGAAGACATCACAGTTACCCTGGGAGAAGGCTGAAGAACAAAAAATGGAAACTAATGAAACGGCAGAAGTGTCAAAAGAAGAGAAGAAAGAGCCGCCCAAAAAGAAGAGAAGAATGGGCGGATACAGAGAGGATCCTTTCGTATTCTTCTCTGGAGACACTGAAGACGTGTTCCCTTCTATCAAAGAATACTACGACCTTAAATCGGACTTTGATTCTACCTGTCTTTTAACGAGGTGTCATGTGGGGAAAAAGAAGAATATATATTTGGTGTCGAGTGTGGTCAAAGATGTTGTGCAGAAGAATGAGAATAATATCAAGATTATCAATACAGGCGTGAAGACGTTCGTTAGGTGCGATAATAAAAACATGACGTGTCCTTTCAGGTTAGTTTCATAGTGTTTTTTTAACGGTTTTAAATAAAAAAAAAAACTTCATCTTATATTTATAACAATCTAACAGGCTTCTCTATAATAAGACATATGTTTTAGGACAGGGATTCCCAAACTATTTTGGGCAAGAGACCCTTTTTCCAAAATGAACTGATACCTCAGACCCCCATAGCCAGATTACTTTAAAAATCCTATCTCCAGTTCTTTTTTTCCCATTTACATTAAAATTCTTACCAATTTAAAAAAGTTTGCGGTTAGTTAAGTGATTAAACTCTTACTCTACTTAACTCTAAAACTAAACTCATTTTATCATTAAATGAAACTAATTTTTTCGGATTTTATCGCGTATATTAACTTATTTTTAATTCCCGACGTTTCTTGTGCTTTACAGCACCCATGGTCACGAGGGGGGACTGAGGTGGTTGACGTCCCGATGTCATAGTTAGCCCGTCTACCCTCAGTTTTTGTATTAATTTTTGGTTCGATCTATGCAGAATGAGCTTTTAGATCTTGAAGTCTTGCAGAGGTATGCTTGGGTTTGGATTTAGTTTTATTAATTATAGAGTCCCCAAGCAGATGGCAGCACCCAACCATCTTCTCTATTGAAATTAGGGTGCTTTTTAATTTAAATACCCTCGCGAATCATCAATAAAAAGTTAAACGCGATAGAATTCGTAAAAATTAGTTTCGTTTAATGTGTAGTGTTTGCGTAAATATAAGTAATCATTATCATTATCTCGTCAAAATTTAACAAAGTAAATGGACATAAAATTCAATAAATATCAAGTGTAATTAATAATTATTAATAGAAATTACGTATTAAATACTTAAGTAGGTAATTGTTTTTTGGAAAAAAAACCATTAAAATCGCGAAGTCGACATAAAGAAATAAAAACTTCAGTGTGATTGATGAAACTGGTGATCTACTAAACTATTAGTCATTCTTATAACAAGTTGGTACGCGAACAGGTGCATTCCCATAATCCGATGGCATAGTAGTGATGCAGGATTAACGGCTTTACGTGCTTTCCGAGGCAGGGGGTGAAACACCGGTTTCTGTCTCGAGGGTATACTCTGCATTTCTTAAGAAACACTCAAAAAGTAAATTTGATCCGAATCGAGATTCAATTCGGATCAAAATCACTTATTCAGTTCGACCAGGCTGACCGAAATTCGATCTGGAGCACATTATAATATGGCATAATTGCCATATGAATGAATCGGCTCATTCGGGAAAAGACCATGGTCGTACAAAATAACTACATGACCATGATAATGCTATTGTCTTTATGTGGTAACGACGAGAATCTTTCGCAGAGAAACGACTCCGTGGCGCAGTGGTTTAGCAATGAGTTGTTGCGCTGGGGGCCGCGGGTTCGAATCCCGCACGGAACAAGTATTTGTATGGCCTATAAATAATTGTTCCGGGTCTGGATCCTCGTGCAATTTATGTTTGTAAAACTGCCTCCACGATACAAGAGAAAATCCTAGTGTGGTGGTAACGTTATTTAAAAAAAAATTTACCTTGAGAGGTGACAGCTCTTCTCTTTTTTTTTTCATACTATTTTTGATATACTGACCTTCTACAGCCTTCAGACCAAAACGCAGTGCGCGCACTGTTACATGGTTGTAGATATTGTTAATAGGATGCTGCTACCTGCCCAGACTTACTTATAGGTAGAAAAGGAGTCTTAGCGCCTAGTAATTGTATTAGACATTACGAAACATTTGTAAAGACGCTTAATTTATTATGTTTTAATTGAATGTGTAACGACGGCGTACGAATATCCACTACCCCATATCGTCCAGTGAGGGTCGAAGAGGCCACAGAGGGAAACAATCCTGGGGATGAACAGTAGCGTCATTAACAACAAAAAAATAAAAATAAACTGAGGATGACAACCCGCCTGCCAAGCATAGCAACTATTGATAAGATATTTGCTATAAATGCCATGCCATGAAGTAATCTATAGGGGGCCTATGTTCAGCAGTGGGCTTTTGGTTTGGCTTTAACAGAAATGGTATGACTTGATCGCTATCCTTTTGGGTCCATTCATCTGGCTACTAGTCTTTCACTATTAGAGGTGAAATAGATAGTGATCTTGATGAATATCGGATACGAAAAATATGTATGTTGTAATTTGACACTGTTTTTTTTACATAATTCCATCCATCCATTACAACCTTTAAAAGTTTACTGCTGAACATAGGCCTCCCCCAGAGATTGCCTCAAAGAGGGGATTTTGTCCATAGATGCCGCGCTTGGCAGGCAGGTTGGCAACCGCATTTTTTAATTATTTTTAGTGGTTATCACGAAGATGCTGCTGCCCATTTCCTGGTTCAGTTTCCCTCTGTCGCCTCTTGCGACACCCATGGGACGATATTGGGTGGTGGATATTCTCACATGGAAACTTAATTATATATTACAACATAATTATTCAGGGCTCTGAAACTGTTTTATATTTTTTAAGTAATCCATTTATTCGTATTGTTCCCTATGACAGGTTATCACAAGAGGGTCTGCCAAGCATATCACAATATATAGGACCCAAGCGAAGGGTTAATATCCTGAAGGAAGACCTCATTCTGGTGTTACAGAACGACAACCCGAGCAATCCGCCCGATATCAAACTGTTCTCTGAACACACACAGAATTTGGTTAAAGACTTTGGTAAGTACATTAGCCTGAGCGATGTTACATGTGATAATAGTAATACATGGAATATTAACGTGGTCTTTCAAAGCTATATCTTGGGTTGTATTGATGTTTTTTTTTAAATTTATTACATGACATCTATTGTCGGTGTCCTTCAGTCCAAATATTAAGAGTCAGTTTATTTTGGTGTATATTTTAATCACATATTTTTTACAATCTTAACTTTACATCGAATAATTTTTGGGAGATTTTGAAAAAAATAAAACTTGAGATTTATGTCATTATCGAAGCAAATGTAATACTTCACAGACACAGACATTTAATACACAAAATTGATACACTTTAATCGCATCAAAATCTACTTCAAACAACTAACAATTAGACGGCGGTCAAATTACCGAAAATTCCTTGTATGGTGATATTGATGATGATAGTGAGAGCTGCCGTAATGAATTTTCGTATCCACCCGTACAAGTCATCTACTGACCATAGGTTCGCAAATGCAGTTTTTTAATAGACTTGCAACGAATAGTATATTCGGTCACACGCCGAATACAGAATATTGTGCAGACTTTTAAAGTTTTCGAAGGAAAATAGGTAGCGATTATTTGGAGAGTCTTTGCTCTAAAGTTGGGATTTTCTACGGGAAGAAAAGGAGTTAACCACTGCGTCAAAATGTTCCACTTATAAATATACAGCATTAGTATAATAGGGAAGTTGATTATGTACCTATGACTACTCCAATGGTTACAAGAAAAATACATTACATTACATTAGAATTACATTAGAAAATAAATCAATATTTTCATTTATCATTATTTCCAATTATCTCACTACTACGAAACTTCTTATTTAAATATTCGATTCGGCTATTGTTCGGTATTCGGTCAATAATATGCCATATTATTTTTTTACGTGATAGAGCCATGCTGCAGCTATATTAGTAGTAGTATAGTTGTAGCACGAATGGGTCGGCTCGACCGGGGAGGGACCACGCTCTCGTAGAATACCAGCGTGGAATGGTGGCTTGGCACTGCTGTGTTTCGTATGGTGAGTGTAGAGAGCCGGAGACCCTTTTTACTGGAAAAGAGGCATTCCATCTTAGTCCTCACGGGTGGCAACGCATCTGAATTTTGATTCGCAAACGAGGATAGATGTAGATGTCTATGGGCACAGCAACCACTTGCCATCAGGTGGACTGTGTGTTCGTTTGTCACCCTATCCTTTAAAAAAATTGTCTCACAACTATCATATTAAGCATCTATGCATTGAGGAAATGAAGGAATAATGCGAGTCTAGTTTTTTATTTTTAATTGTAATTAGAAAGACGAGGCTACTCATCTCCTGGTTTGTTTTCCACTGTTGCCTCTTACGACACCGACGGAAGGTGATGGGGTAGTGGAGTGGATATTCTTACACCGCCACTACACGGTCGTGTGTTGTGTATATTATATAGGTGATAAAGATGATGTCTTTACTTGAATGATTTTTATTACAGATACCTTTCACAGTTAACAAGTTGTAATGTTCATTCGTCCAGATGACATTTACATCACCACACTTGTTTTTAATTTCTCCTAGCTGATATAAATCCAGATAGATTAAGATCTAAGTTATGTTACCTAATTTGCTGTCTGTTTGTGTTGCAGGTTTTAAAGTTATATCAAGTGATGCAACTTAAAGCTTTAAGTGACCATTATAGAGATTTTTAAGATTTTAATCTTGAACATTTTTCTTGTTTGTTGCAGCAACGGGCAGTTGTATTCTAGAATACCAAGACACGGAATCAAACCTGAAACTAACGCTAGTGGGTTGGCGAGGTGTACATTCGCTGCGCGCGTACACCGCCACGCCCGACACTGTGCATTATTTGCGACTCTTAGGCGCCGATTATAGTAAATATGGTAAGTTTTACATTCAATCAATTCCACAACTGCTACAGCTGTGTATTGCGCTGGCGCCGGCTGGGAGGGTAGCTGGCGCGGTAAATATAACACGCAGTTGTATTTTCATTAGTGTCCGACCGAAACCGAAAACGAACCTTCGGTCTGAGTGTCAGTTTCGGCCGAAACCGAGACTTATTTAGACATGTTATTTTTTATTATAAACTGAAATGTGGTGTACTTCTTATACAAATACAGATAATGCATGTTAATGAAAAATATTAATTGTTATTACAATACTAAAATAAATAAATATATTGCTACATGACTATTGTCATAAATATAGTCAGCAATATATTTATTTATTTTAAAGTAAAAAATCAACAATTTATCGTTAAGAAATACTTTTTTAAGTAAATTTTGTAAAAAAAAGTTACTCGCTAATTGTGTTCAATGAGAGCATTAGCGTAATATAATTATGAGTAATACATGAGTCACGAACTCCGAACGACGCACGATAATCCACGAACACTTGAGTTTCGGCGTCGCCGAAGGTTCGGCAATTTTTTTTCCGAAACCGAAACTAGTTTTTTTTTGCCGAAACTTGCCGAAACCGAATCTTCGGTCGGTCACTAATTTTATTTACAGACAGTTGCTGTTTTTAGGCAAATACAAAATAAAGTTACACACTTATCTGAAATAAACTTCAAATCACGTTGACCAAGTGCGCACATAAAAATCTGTGGTTACATTATCGAAAACAACGTTCGCAGTTTACGAAGTTATGAAGATTTGACCGTAACTTTTGCGTAATGTATTAATGCTCCACCTTAGTGCTCAAGTAGTATACACAAGTCTTTGCAACTGTATTTTGATTTTATTTTGACACATTTCGCTAAGTGTTAGTAAATGAAATTAGTTTCGTGAATATTCACATTAAGATTAATAGGTACTGATTAGGTATAACTAGTTTATATAATATATATAATGCCGTTACGTGTGGAGTGAGTAAAATGTCGTTTAGGACGATAAATGGATGGAAGAACCATACACATAGCAAGTGTAATCACCTCGTCCAAAATCGCTAAGCGGAAAGGTCTTTAATATTGGCAGATGTCATAGGTCGATTACTCGTAGCCGCCCGGAGTAGAAATTACGATCGCGTTCCCGAAACAGTTCTCCGATCAACGGCGCATGCCTTCATAACCAATAAGAGAAATGTAGAACATTCTCAACCAATCCGGTTCATTCCAACTTTGCCCACTTTTAATACGATATTGGCAAAAATATTTACGATTAACAATGTGTCCAAAGGAGAAAAGGCTTTCCGTTCGTTGATATACCTTAGCATCTTGCTTGCATCAATATGTTGAGCAGTGTCTATTCTTACGCTAACATATACCACGTTCTTCTCATATTTTTACACTGTCATCCGATTCTGAGCTATGATCAAAATTTCAAGTCTCTAGCTCATCGGGAAGTTGGTTGGGTTAGATTTAGAATCGTTTGGCAGGAATTTGGAGAAGCAAGGTGTTATATTTGGTAGAGGTTTGGTCCCTGATTATAACAATAGGTTTCCACTCGCATTAAAAGGTAATGCACTATTTTCGAGAAAATAAAAAATACTATTATTACCTAGATATGGGATAAAAATTGAAGAACGAATTCAATATTACAGTAAAAGCTGGATAGCATATATAATTTTGTGTAAGTGCGACAAGGACGTAAGATCATGTCAAAGACTAGTGTCACATTATTATACTTCTATGGTATTTTTATTCTTCTGTGGCTTATTGCGCATAAGTCGCGCTGATTGGTTCGTGCGTATCGTTCGAATGCGCTGATTGGCTCTCCGGCTCAGTGCTAGACTTACGTGCCGCGACTTATACATACTTTGCACTCAGAAATCCTTTCAGTTGAGTTAGGTTAGAAGGCTGTGGCGGGAGCGAAGCGCAACGCAGTTCTTGCCACAGCCTTCGTAGTTATTTTGTTTTAACGCCCGGAAATACTTGAGCACCCAGAAATCGTTTCAGATCAGTTAGGGGATACCCCCGCTCGTCCTCCCTGTCTACCCTCCTGCCGGAGAGAAATAAATGTGTTCATTTTGAGGTTAGGTCTGGGATTTTCTTTTTAATTTTTCCGAACGGTGTATTACCTTTTCACGAGAGTGAGGTCGGGGTGTAGGGGACACTCCCCTCTCCCCCTACTCTCCCCCCTGCCATACGATTCTAAATTTTTACCAGTTTAAAATCGATTACTAAATTCCATTACATTACATTCCATTTACAGGCCGAAAAAAAAGGTGGGAGGCAGGCCTAAGCGTTTCCTCTTAAGAACTTTTCTTCGTCTGAAAAAATATTGACATGTCAAATAAATACATTATAATATGAAATGTCAGATGTGAAAATGTCAAAGTGATTGTAGTATGTAGGTTTATTCATGCAATTTGGCATTCTAGTTATTTAATGGAGCCTAATAAGGCATGCAAAAGCACAAGTGTATGGGGCTAATAGGTTTTTTAACTAATGATGGGCCGAGGGGAGGGGTCGAAAGAAGCTTCAATAAATTCGTTTAATTATACATACTGCCAGTGCGTCACCCGTTTCTTTTCCGAACTCTCCATAGCTCTCTGAGCGTCCTTGAGCATCCTCATACGGCTAGCAGTGAATGACCACGTCTCAGATTTATGATATATCATCACTGGCAGGCAACACTTGTTGTAAATAAGAGTGTATGTGTAGTTTATATCAAAGTATATCGTTTCATTTTTATAAAAAGGTACTTTTACAGTGTCGGTAATATTGTTCTTTTTTTCAGACGTTAACAAATTCAAAAAGGCCTCTGACGTATCAGACGAGGCGGACACAAATAACGTCGCCGAAGTTTCGCAGTGTTCGACAAGCGAAAATGAGCCTAATGGTGATAAGGAGAATAACGGTGACGTCTCTACAAATGAAACTTCAAATATAAATAGTACATAAGATTCATAATTGAATTTACTTTTATATACCAGAATGTAACTTATATATTTTTTTGTAAGTACAGTACTTTTGACGTTATATGATGTTTCATTTCTTACATGATATATTTAAGGTTTTTTTTTCTAAGACTGAAGTGACCCACAAACTTAAGTCCATTTGATGGTAGGTGGCTACTGCAGTCCACGGACACTTTCCAACCTCAAACCCACCTCGTCTTTTATACACTACAAATGTTTTGTCACCTCTGAGAACTAAGTTTTAAGATGGTATGTCCACAGTCTATGATTATACTGGTTCTCCATACTCTTCATACTGGCACATAGCAGTACAAGCAGTAGATGTAAGTATAACATATGAAGTCAAGTCTGATCCGCTGTGCGACTGTGAAACTTTGGAAATCGTTTGCCTAAAATAAGATTATACGAGGGTGGATTGAAAAGTACTCGGCCTAACACAGATCCATTCAATTCTAAAAATCAAATCTACCCACATTATTTAGTTCAGTTCAGACTAGTTCATTGTGTGAAGTTCGAAACGTGTGCGATAATTAGTTGTGATTTTATAAATTTATTAACAAACTAATCGGACATAATTTCCGCGAATGGAGCAAATCGAGCAGCGTGCCGTCATTAAGTACCTCCATAAGAAGGGGCTATCATCAAAAGCCATCCATGATGACATGGTCAGTACATTAGGCGATTGTGCTCTGTCATATTCATCCGTCAAAAAATGGATAGCAGAATTTAAGCGTGGTAGAGAGAGTGTGAAAGATGAAACCCGCTCTGGAAGGCCTTCGACGTCAACTACTGACGAAAATATTAAAAAAGTACTTGATTTAATAATGGGAGACCGCAGATTAAAAATTAGAGAGATAGCCGAGATTATAGGCATCTCTTATGAACGAACTCAAAACATCATTGTCAACGAGTTGGGTTTCCACAAGGTGTCTGCGAGGTGGGTTCCGCGACTGCTTTCAGTTGAACAAAAAAGGACGCGATTGACTATTTCACGCGACTGTTTGGAGTTATTTGAAGCCGATGCAGATGATTTTTTGAATCGTTTTGTTACTATGGACGAAACATGGGTTCATTACTGTACACCGGAAACAAAACAACAATCAAAACAGTGGAGAAGACCTGGTTCACCACCCCCTAAAAAGGCTAAGTCGATTTTGTCGGCAAATAAGGTGATGGCTTCAGTATTCTGGGACTCGAAAGGTGTGATTATGATTGATTATCTTGAAAGGGGTCATAATATAAACTCTGATTACTACTGCACCTTACTACGTCGTTTACGAGAGGAAATAAAAGAAAAACGTCGAGGAATGCTCAGAAGAAAAGTCCTGTTTCATCAAGATAACGCCCGTGTTCACACGTCAGTACAGTCAATGGCTGAAATTCACAACTGTGGCTTTGAACTGTTACCGCATCCGCCGTATTCACCTGATCTGGCACCATCAGACTTCTTTCTGTTCCCTAACCTAAAAAAGCACTTGGGAGGTCAAAGATTTTCGACAAACGACGAGGTCAAAGCAGCTGTAGACGCATATTTTGACTCTAAGGAAGAATCATTTTTTTTCAACGGTCTAAATGCTTGGAAGGGGAGGTGGCAAAAGTGTATTGAACTTGATGGTGATTATGTAGAAAAATAAAAATATAACTGATTTAGTATTTGTTTATTTTCTTGGTTAGGCCGAGTACTTTTCAATCCACTCTCGTAATATAAAATTTAAAAAAAACAAACATTTATTTTAAAAAGGAATGCTAGTGACGCTATCAACAATACTTATATACTAATTAACCACTCCGAGCTTTATGATGCTTGTTTTTGAGGTGTTTTACCACACAACAGTCGAATGGCAGATTCGAACCCACGACTCTCCGAGTTTGCAGTCCGCACTCTTAACCGTTAGGCTATTGTCGCTTATAGTAGATACTGTTAAATTTATACGACACCACCAAATCAAACACCAAACGTCGTCAAAGCGACGACAACCACGATTACCATCGGTGTTACACAATCGCACAGCTGCTCCCAATTTGTTATACTTACAATATCGTTCTTTAACGTGGTAGAGCCACGCGGCAGCTTTTGCTGTCGCACGGATGGGCCGGCTCGAACCGGGGTGGTACCACGACATTTAATTATTTTTTTTACACTTTAATTTTTAATCGAGTTACCGTGTAGTGGCGGTGTAAGAATATCCACTACCACATATCTTTATGTAGATGTCGTAAGAGGCGACAGAGGGAAACAAATCAGAGCAGCAGCGTCTTCCTAATAATACCTAAAATTAAGAAACTGCGGTTACCAACCTGAGTAGTAGCCTGCCAAACGTGGTGGCAAATATCCCCTCTATGAGGCAACCAATGGGGGCGCCCTATATTTAGCAGTGGACTTTAATAGACCGTAACGGTAACGGTTTTAATATATTATAGTATAAGGGTGACAAACGAGTACACAGTCCACCAGATGCTGTGGCCCATAGACATCTACATGTATCATCGATTACGAATAAAAATGCAGATGCGTTGTCACCCGTGAGTACTAAGGTGGAATTTAGACGTTTCCACTAAAAAAGTGTTCTCTACACTCACCATACGAAACACAGCTGCGTTAAGCTGCTATTTTACGCTGGTATTCTGTGAGAGCGTGATCCTTCTCCGGTCGAGCCGACTCATTTGTGCTACAACTATAGTAAGTGAGGGTAATATAGTCATCCGGTTAATATGGTCACTCGCTTATAATTCGAAAACTACAGCCTTGCTCTTCATCAGTCAATCAAATATAAAGGGTCAAAAGGGCGCTGATTTTTCGACGCGATTTTGACAGTTGAGAATATTGTAAACATTGAGTTATATGTACTACGTACTAGAGAAGCCATTCCAAACAAAAATTGTGTCCTACTCTATAATATGTATTGCGACTACTACTCCCGCGCATGCGCGAAGATTTTAATTTGATATAAATTAAGATATTAATATAAGAATTTAATATAAAATATCTTAATTTAATCTAAACAAACATATTTCTAAATAAAATGTAATAATAATTATTTTATGGAATTCACAAATCTTCAATTTACGCAAAATTTAGTTTATATGGATTGCACTACAGTTCAGTTGAACATAGTCAATGTTCGGAATGGCTTCTCTAGTACGTAGTACATATAACTCAATGATTGTAAATATTTTAGTCGATTTTAGTATGTATTGTGTAGTATAGTAAGTTTTATTTAAGTTGATTTTTCGAAGTGTTTCTAATTATTGCTAAAGCTTGTTTGTTTTTTTTTTTCTTAATATATTATAGTTTACTTTTCACGTTGTGTTTTTCTCTGTTCTCCTCCTAGTTTTGATATTGTAGTTTGGGCGTGTGAGTGTGCAAGGTGACCATATTACCCTCACGTACCTTATACCAGATATATAGCTGCAGCATGGCTCTGCCACGTATACATTTAACATAGATAGTTGTGTATGAAATGTAATTAAAAAGCTTTCTGAGCGACTTTGAGTTTATTGATACGACTAGGAGTGAAAAAAGAGTGATGATGAACAAATTTAAAATATCATGTTCATACAGAACAATAAAAATACCAATGCAAGTTTATACCTTTATTCACACTTCATCATTCTCGTAAATTCATCCGCGATGCGAACGATAACAATCCTTAACACATTCATTACACAATTCCAAAGAAAAGGTTGATAAAAATCAATCTCTGTCAAACTGAGATATTAAAACACAGATATAAATAAATATGGCGCGGAGTTAACATGCTGTTGTTGCACTGTAATTGACTTGCAATTATGCAATAAATCTTATATTGCAATTAGGTTTTCTAATAGTTTTGTAGGTCGTCTCAAGTAAGCATTTATGAAATTCAGTTTACAAATTAAATTATAACAAAACAAATTATATTGAAGTTTACTAATTATAAATAATATATACATCGTTGATCATAACTCCCGCCAAAATACAGAAAAATAAAATTACAATAATTAAGCACTTCCTAATAAGACTTTCTTCATTCATTATTAGTATAAAATAAATATAAAAAACATAAAATTAAAATAACAACCTACTATTTATATTGCACGATTGAATTATAAATAAAATAGTACTTTTTGATTGAATTATAAAGTAATATTACTCACAAATTATAAATGTATTGCTTGTAGTAATCATAGACTCGACTATTTTTTTTAATTTAATGTCAGTTTATGGAGACAACATTGATTTTATAATTGAATGACAGCAGACCACAAACTAGTAAGAAGTGCTAGCAGCAGACTTTCAATAAAAAAAATTAAATGATATATTTAATTACCAAAAAACTCCTATGCAAATTCTAGAAAGACATATTTCCTGTTCCCTATGCGAATAAAAAGCGAATTGGAGATGACTTGGAAGAACATTTTATTACATCTTGAGTTTTATGGCTGCTGCTGTATCGTGTATAACCTTCTTCGGTCCTTCAGATTTAGATATAAGATGCGAAAAAGTATACAAAATGCGCTATTGCCTTCTCACTTTATTTCATTTTATTGCATCTATGATCTTATGGATACCATCTAAAAATATAATACAGAACGGCGTTTCCACACATGTCAAAGTTTTGCACGAAGTACTTGTATAATATTAAATTTTATTACATTCCAATTAAGTGTTAATTGCTTTTAACGAATCTTTAAATTTCACGTCAGTCCAATTAGTTACAATAATACTTTTTTTATAAGCATTCATATTATATTTCAAAATCTTGAGCCAAGGAGTCTCTATCTAATAAATGTGTACATAATGATTGCAATGAATAAACGAAATTTTAAAAATAGATAGGACTTTAATAGTAAAATATCACAAAAACAAACTTATTAAAATTGACATCAAACAATATAGGATTACCTATAAAGAAAGAATGAATGGTAAAAAAATTGCATGTTTTTTAAAGAAATATTTTGTGCGGAAGTTGTTTGTATAATACATAAAAACTAATCGCACAT